AAAAAGGCACTCAAAAACCTTCTCCACAATCTTCACGAATCCTAAAAAAAAAAAAAATACAACAAAAATTGAAATTTTGACGCCAATTTCAAAATAATAATAATAGTTATGATAATCTCGTCACCTGTAAGCATCATCCGCGTACAGTATGTAGACGTGACCCAAGTCTGCGAATCTCCTCCCATTGTGGAAACTTTTAATTACCGATTCTCTATTCATTTATTTTCCCCTAAAATCTGTCCACATTAATTAATTTCCTTTGGTATTCACTCTCTCTTTCTCTGCGCTCTGGCCTCCAACCATTAATCAATTTCTACATATGCATACTGTTACTCCTCGCCTCAAAGGCTCGAAGATGAAGTGACACATGGGTAGAAAGTCAACAAGAGAGTCAAACGAAGACCTATGAGGTAAAAAATCGAGGTCCTTGCTCTACAGTCGAAGTGATTGCTGAAGCGGACCTCAAAATCGAAGTGCTTACAAAAGCGGACATCGAAACCGAAGTACTTGCTCTACAAGCCGAATTGCTTGTTGACGCACTGCCTAAAGAAACAAAAAAAGGAGTTGAAGCTCTCCATTTAGAGAACCATCTCAAAAGATCTCTCCGAGACTCTCAAACTCATCCGAAGCTCGTGAAGCCGATGATGTCTCTTGTAATAGATTTGAAGATCTATTAGAAGTGATTAATGTAACACTTCTAATAAAGTTTGTCAATATTTCAGCATATTTTATAGGGCGGCTGACCATTTATCAATGTATTAATTGTATGAATAAACAGTGATGTGAAGCCTAAGTTAGGGAGATGAGACCACGTGGTTCCGATCCAACGGTCACCACGTCGACCAATACAGTATAAATATGTCCTCTTTGTAATAAAAAAGAGGTTGGATCATTGATGGAAAAATGGACAATCATATATTCAAATATACACTTGAACTCTTGAAGAAAATATATGAACATTTCATCTATCCTTCCACATATTCTTGTTGGTTATTACATAGATTAGTTTTGTTTCAACCCTAGCAATCGTTGTTAGTGCAATTGCTTTCGTTTCACCCGTCAGAACTCGAACATTTTTGTCTCTCATCGCAAAGTATCTCCCGCGTCAATTCCCTCATTGCCATCGCCGTTACTCCGATAGAAACGCACAATG